GCTCTCAATCCTTTTTCCTTGATTCTTCGAAACACTTCCTCCAATCTCTATTCATGTTATTCGGGATTTCTTCCCGCCACCAAGACATCCATGTAGTAGAAAACTCCCTCCATTCCCTGGAAAACCGCAGCTATCGTACGCTTAAAAATGGGAGCTGAAACACTAAGTCCGAATGTAATCTACAAAAGCAAACAATCCTTTCGGCGTAGTAATCGTTAATAACTTCCTTACCTCAGGCCTTACCCGTAGTTGCAGATATGCATTAGAGAAATCCACTTTTGAAAAATAAACACTTCCTTTTAAACTAGCCAGTATTTCTTCAATTTTCGACAAGGGATATTTAACCTCCACTACCCACGGATTTACTGTAACTCAAAAATCTGCGCATAAACGAAGTTTTTTATTAGATTTCTTCGGTACTAACGGAGTTGCCCATTCACTGTATTCCACCGGACATACAATACCCTTCCGTACCCATTGATCCAACTCCAATTCGACTTCCTTTCTCCATTCAAACGGTATCCTCCGTAACGCACAAAACTTCGGAACGCAACCATTCTAATTTAATGTCTACTTCATAATCTCTGAGGCATCCCAAGTCTTCGTTGAAAATTCCCGATAATTTGTACTAATCTCCGTACTCCTTCTTGCACTTGGGTCATAGCCAATTTTCTTCTCTCTTCTTCCTTAGTTATCAACTCTTCTTCACTGGGCATTGTTCCTTCCTTCATTACTTCCAGATTTCCTTTCGCCTTTGTGTTCATCATTTCTCGATTTTCTTGCGTCGTGGTATTCATCACTTCTCGATTTCCTTGCTGTGATCCTTCCTTCCTTTTCTCCGCCTTTCCTTCCTCCCTCCACGTAATATCACGACCCCTCTCAACAGCTCCAACGTGCCCGGGTAATTTCTACCTACTTCTTCTCTTGAATCATTATTTGCTGCTTCTCTCCTGGAATTTCTTTCCCCTATTTTACCTTTAGGATTCTTTTTCCCTATTTCGCCCTTAGAGTTATCTCTTTTATTTCCGTTCTATCCTTACCTCCCTTTATTTCGCTTCCTGAATTATGTTCTCTTATTTCGCTCCTTGAATTATTTTGATTTGTTTCGCTCCTTGCATTGTCGCTCCTTGAATTACTTTGTCTTGTTTCGCTATTGGAATTGTTTTTCCTTGTTTCACTTCTTGAATTATCGCTCTTTGTTTCGCTCCTAGAGTTATTTTTCCTTGTTTCGCTACTTAAATTATCGCTCCTTATTTCGTCCTTATTTCGCTCCTAGAAAGATTTTCGTTGGTTCCCTCATAAAACATGGTCTCAATTCCAGGCAACACATTCTCTCTCAAGGTCATTACGGCATATTCCTCACTCGTTATTGGTACAAATATACCCCACCATGAGAATAATCCCCCAAAACTATACCATGGACCAAGTCTAATGATCCAATCCCAACCCATCACCGCTTTTATATTCCGATTAATAATCCAAAAATCTAATATTTCAACCCTATCTTCCGATGCGCTACTATCTCTACCATACCCATGGCTGCCAACAAGGTTCCATCAAACTGTCTTATTCTCAACCCCTCATTCTCTATCCTTTCCCCAGGACAAATACTCTGATATCCATTATATCCAATTACCGAAATGGCTGCTCCTATATCAAATAACATGGGAACCATTCTTCCTCCAAATTTATCATTACTCTAGGACAAGGATCATGTACTATCCCCTCTTGTAGCATGTTTACGATTCCCTCTTGTAGCATATTTACGCAAACCTCCTTACTTGTTTTTCGCTGATCAAAACCCTCCTCTGTCCCTCTTAACCGTCTTGCGCAGGGTTGCCAGGTCAAAATTTTTAAATTGCGGGAGAAATTTGGTATTATGCGGGAGAAATATAAAAATTGCGGTAGAAATATAAAAATTGCTGAAAAATTTATTTTGAATTGACTTAATTATCCGCCTATTATTTTTAAATACAAAGTCGGTAACTATTTTTCAAAATAAAATAATATCTTGATTTATTAAAATATATTAATTTATTAAAAAAACCAACGATCCTTTTTAAATATAAAAGAATGTAAACAAGATAAAATTATAAAAAAAGGATTTTCATTTTACAATTAAAAATATATTTTATGCGAATGTCCCGCAAAACGACCGCAATTGGAAATCTACCGTGTGTGTGTGAGTATAACATTATAGGGATAGGTGCTTAATTAACACGTATCACGTTTATATACATGATAAGGTACTCTAATAATAAGAAATATGAAACTACTTGCGGCAATTGTAATCACTTATCTTGTAGTACAACATTCACAGAGATACTTATCATCACAATGATGGTAGAAACTTTTTCCCATAATATTTAACGACTCTAATATAAATGAAAACTATACTTGTAGAACAAAAATGAGCAAGGCTATCATCAATGTTTTAGGACCTAAATCCAGGAGGTCAATTCTTGACGATTTGAAAATGGGCATACATATGCAAGATACATCTAATTTTTATCAAAATTAAGGTCGTTTCAATAAAACTATTAAATTTTTTCCCCTCAAATAGCCAAAAATTCAAAGACATAGCTAAGTAAATATAGCAGATTCGAGATTATCAATAAATTGAATGTCAGATTTCTGATCTGATGATGCCTCAGTGAATTTGGTAAAAACAGAGAGTATTTACAGAATTGAGTCAGCACAATGTTGGTTGCGATATGTTCCTAATACCCGCCATCGGAATTTTATAATTTTATAAACCTTTAAAAAAATATTTCTTAAATAAAGATTATAAAAGCTGTCCTAATATTTTGAAAATTATTTTCAATAATGAATGGTAGAGGTATATTTTGGAATGATTTCACATGTAGGAAATCTACTACATGCTGTTAATGTGTAGTTGCAATCAGAAGAATCTTAACAAATGCTGCAGATGTGTTCATCTTTACAGTTAAAAATTGACAATAAATTTTATGGCGCCATTTCTAAAACTTAATTATATTTTATTTGAGATTTAAATAATAGAACTAAATGTTTACCGTCGTTATTGAGATATTTATAAAATTCCTGGCATGACATATTATATATTTGTTTAACAATTAGCTCGGTCTCTAATGTTGTTAAAGCAATCCGATTTCTCTCCTTTTTTCAGGCAGTCCTCATCAGGCTAAAAATGCCCTAGGATGAGGCATTAGAATGAGGTAAGGAGAAAATATACTGGTATATTTTTTCTAGCATGGGGATTTATCGATATTACGAAAATATTTTACCCATTTCTCCTCTGCATTTAGACCATCTAACTTTAAGTATTTTGGCGAATCATAAAAAATAAAGAGAATTACAATCTCCTCAAACAAGAAATCAATGTCTTTCGGTATTTTTAATATTTTTATTAATTATAAAAACCATCAATTGATGGTTTCTGTTCCAAGGTCATAATATTTATACATTTGTGAATAGTTATTAAAATCAAATTTTGATTGTAAATATTCTAAAATTGTCTTAATAAAAATATCTGCTTCATTTAAAAATGTATTAATTAGAGTATTATTTGAACATTTTAATATAATATTTTTAGCAATAGCGCCATAAAATTTATTATCAATTTTTAACTGTAGAGATGAACAGACCTGTAGCATGATTTTGTGATTTTTTTTTATAAAGAATATTCTGTCTGATTGCAACTGAATATTAACTGCATGAAGTAGATTTCCTACATGTGAAACGAATCCCAAATATGCTTCTCCCATTTCAAACTCGAAAAAATTTTTCAACAATTTAGGACAATCTTTTAAAATCTTTATTTAAGAAAAGTATTTTTTTAAGGGTTTGTAAAATTTTAAAATTCTATCGATGGCAGGTATTAATGACAACCATCTAATAGGTATACATCGCAACAACTCACACCATTCAAAGTCAGACCACTTCACCAACTCTTTTAATTCATTAACTCTTTTAGTTGATGACTAAATTCGTTAAAACATTTCATCACAATTATTTCGACATCCACAGATAGTACAATCATAGCCTTCTTGCGAGAATTAATGACATATACAGCCAATTGGTATTAATTCATTATTGGGCTGCCTCAATTCGGTATCTTTGGTTTTTGCCAAAATATACAGAGGCATTATCAGCGCAGAAAGCTGACATGCAAATCATTGATAAACCTGAATCAGCTATATTTACCATTATGTGGCTAGCTACATCGTTGGATTTTTTACTATCCGAGGAAATAATTTTAACAGATTTATGGAAATGTTCTTATTCTTGTTGAAATAGCGAAGGATCAAGGGAAATGTTTTAATATTTCCTTTATTAGATGCATCTGTTAGAATTGAATATGGATGGCTAACTTTCAAATGGTCTAGAATTGACCTCTAGGATTCAGGTACTAAAACACTTGTGATAGCCTTGCTCATTTTTGTTCTGCCACAAGTAAGGTTTGCACTTATATTGGAGTCGTTAAATATCATGAGAAAATGATTCGACCCACATTGTGATGATATAGCTCTGTGAATGTTGAACTACATGATAGATGTATACGATTTCCGCAAATGTAGTTGCATCTGTATTATTTATTATTTGAGAATATTTTTGTATTGCAATCGATGTTGATATACCCCCCTGTACTGACTTATATGAATGGAATGATGTTGATTTATTATTGGATAAAAATAAAACAGGATAGAAAGAAATTTACAAACTAGACATGTTTTTCGAATAAATATTTTAAATTATTTTAAAAATATAAAAATCATCAATTAATGTCTCTCAAAATTATTATTTATATATTAAAAATGTTAAAATACTAAAAATAAAATTGCGGGAGAAATTAAAAAATTGCGGTTGATTTTTGCGGGAGATTTCCAATTGCGGTAGTTTTGCGGGAGAGAGATGTCTGCGTGTAAAATAAAAAATGGCAGGAGTCTCGCGCTGATGGGGAGACATGGCAATCCTGGTCTTGCCCCGACCTGTACTGCACTTTTTTCACTATCATATAGTCACAAATTCTCACAGTCCCTCGCCACATGCCCACCCTTTCGGCATCGAAAACATTCTATATTTTTTTCCTCCAACTCTTTGACATTAACTGTCCGCCCCTCTTCCATTCTCTCCCACTCAATAATTCTCACATTTAAAGCATTCGCACTCATCCCTCTCTGTGGGAAATCACTTTTGTTATTGTAATTGTTCGCATTACATTCCTCCTTATTATGCCCAAACCTACCACAACCCGCACATCTTAATCTCTCTTGCTTACCCGGACAATAAGGGGCTATATGTCCTAATTTTCCACAACCAAAACATTTCGCCTCACGGCAATCTATGAGCATATGACCTGGTTTACCGCAATTATAACAGCTCATTACCCCTCTCCCCCGAGATTCAAAATTTTGTATTTCTACTCTCCTTCCCCGAGAATTTTCTCTGGGCTCTCTATATGGTCGCAACACTTGATTATTTCCCAAACTTTGTTTATCAGAGCCATATATTTTACTATTTATATCGCTATCCGTTGACCCTTTAATTAACTCCTGAACCGGTAACCAAGTAACTTTACCCATCATATCCTCCTCTCCATTATATCGCTCAATGGTCAAAGTTTGTCCTTTAATTCTTACGCTGCGACTCCTTCTCATTCTCCTGCCCAAACTAAACTAAATATCCATATTAATAAATTAACCAGCGCTCCAAAAATATCATGCTGAGCCTCCCAGTATTTAACAAATTTTAAACTTTTCATCTTGGCGTTATAAAAAATTTATGATTAATTTCAAAATAAAAATCTTGGTTATTTGTAATGTCAACAAGTAAGATATTATAAGTAGCGTAAATAAGCCAATGATGCACATATACATGCACACGTAATAGGTCAATGTATGACAAAATTCTTGTAAATTTCTTGTAACAGATTTACGTTTAAAAATATTTGGACAGCACTTCCAATACAATTTCTGGTAAATTTCGTCTAACAGTTTTATATTTGCAAAAATTTGGGCAGCACTTCCGTGTAGTTGGCTTAATTATTAAATTTTGGATAAATTTGTCTAATAGATTTATATTTGCAAAAATTTGGCAGCACTTCCATGTACTAGGCTTATTTATTAAAATTTTGCGGGAATTTCTTATAGATTTGTTTTCGCAAAAATTTGGGCACTACTTCCGTGTAACAGGTTTCTACTGGCCAAAATTTGAGCAGCACTTCCGTCTAATTTGTCCTTTTACTTAAAACCCAACAAAATCTTAAATATCGCTTTCTCAATGAAACCTACCCAACAAATGGGTACTAAACTCTTAAATAACTCTTGCTGACTATAACCCCCAACAAATGGGTAAATACACTCTTACTTGACTCTTACTGACTATAACCACCCAACAAATGGGTAAATACACTCTTAATCGCTTGTTCACGCAGAAGGTAGCGAGTTTTTTGACCACCACTTTTCTAATTCTTACTCTGGTGACTTTTCAAATTCCTACGCTGATTATTTTTTTTTAAATTTTAAATGTATTTTTTTTTACCTGAGTTATTCCTTTATTTTTGTTTTCCCTTTAATTGTTTTTTTTTTCTTTCTTTTTCTTTTCTTACTCTTCACTAAAACTTTTTACACACAAAAATAATAATTTTATTATTTTTTTCTTCTCTTTATATATTATATACATTGTAAAAAAAAATATATAAAAAAAATATAAACTTTTTAAAACAACAAAATAATATATATCTAATCTACTATTAAACTATTTAAAATAAAAAAAAATAACAATCTTCGCGAAAAAAAATATAACATAATAATACAATCGATAATTTTTTTTTAACACATCTCAACCCGCCATAATAACAACACATTAATAATTTGTTCCAACTACTACAATTACAAAAAATAAATTTATTTGTTGAAAACATGTACATCTTCAAAATCAAAAATGTTCCATTTTCTGTATCTGTTAATAATATTTTATTTGAACTCAGGACAATTCGGATGCACAATATATACGTGGACCCAATAATGGAGAGGTGTTCTTTGAGTTTTGTAACTTAAAGGATATGTTAAGATGTTACGAGGCCTTAAATGGCAGATTCTATGTATACGGAGAATCTGAGTTTATGGAGATCAGATATATCTTCTTTAATTAATAAGTGTCAAAACTCAAAAGAAAACTTTTTAGAATGGCACCTTAGACTGAATAAAAATGTTATTTTTTCCGACGAGAGTAGGAAAAAAGAAAAGTTAAGAACGTCAACTTTAAACGACAAAATAAAATATAAATTAAGTAAAGATATTAATTTAACCTTAAATGAAATGATGGAGATAGGGAGTAGATTAGATAGCATTAATATTAAATCTATTGATAATGAGTTATGTTAATTACGATAAAAAGTCCGATAAAAATAAAAACTTTCATATTAAAAATAATGAGCATAAAGGTTTAGTTAACTAAAGCACTTCCGATAACATTTTTCCTAGATATAACTGTAGGAGTGATAATAATAATTATTTTAGACCCAATAACTATTTTAGAAACAATTTTAGACAAAATTATGATAATAGATATAACAATTATAATAGGAATAGAAATAGGAATTATGATAATAATAACTTTAGATAGGTATGATAATAATCAGAGGAAACAGATCCAATACGATAATCGAAATCGCAATAATTACCAATCTTATAGTAACAACTCAAATTATTATAGAGGAAGCGATCACAATCAGAGAAAGTAATTACAATATAACAACAACAACTATAGTATGAATATTGAAGAAATTGTTGAAGATAAAGTCAACTCTACAAAAAATAATGATAATAATGATACATTAATAACTTAACTGAGGACATGCTTAATGATTAAGATAATGCAATTATGACTACTTAAAAAGTAAATGATGTTATAACAACGATGCAAGTCGACACAGGCTCCAAGTTCACCATAAAACCTCAAGAAATGGCTAAAAAAGTTGGCATTAAATAAATTAAAAAATCCAAGTTGCAACTTACCGCCTATGATGGAAACTTAATTAAGATCATCGGCATTACGCAAGTCAAAGTTACTTATGGGCATCACGAAATATTTACGGTAGTTGATGATTCAAGAAAAAATGCCTTGTTGGGACGTACATGGATCAACGCCTTCAAGAATATTTTGAATAAATTTATAGCAAACATTGACACCAATTACGAAGATGAAATAAAAAAACTGATTAAAGAGTGCGAATCCAAATTAACTAACGGACCAATTAACAGTGTCAAACTACATTTAAGAAGAGATGCCCAACCTAAAATTATATCATCTAGACGTATACCCTATGCAAAGATTGATCTTGCGGGCAAAGAACTTGATAAATGGATACATGATAAAATTATTGAGCCGGTGAATGATATTTGATGGGCAAGTCCTATTACCGCTGTCTACAAAGATGATGGGAGCATTAGGCTTTGCGCTGATTTTAAGGACACTGTAATTTAGAGGATTTTAAATATCCGCTTCCATGAATAAATGATCTAATAGCTAAACTTTCAGAAAGAAAGAAATTTATCAATATCGATTTTAAAAATGCTTTCTTACAGGTTCCGATGATAAAAATTGCAGAAATATTTTGACTATATCCACGCATAAGAGATACTATCGATTTACTAGACTTCCTTTGGCTAAAGACCTCATCTGCAATCTTTAAACAGATCATGGACCAGATCTTCGGTGACATGAAAGATGTCATATTTTATATTGATGATTTACTTATAACCGGAAAAAACGATGAAGTTCATCTAAACAATATAAAAAAAGTGTTTGAAAGAATATCATCGTTTGGATTAATACCTAACTTCATCAAAAGTGTGTTCTTTAAAAATAAAGTGAGGTTCCTGGGTCATGATATTGACGCCAAGGGGATTCACGCTAATCACGACAAATTGGAGCAATAGTGAATATCCCAGAACCAAAATCAGCTGCTAAATTATCAATATTTCTGGGAATGGCTGGCCTCTACAGAAAATTTTTGAACAATTTTGCAGAAATAGCCTATCCTCTATATAAAATCGTCAACAAAGAAAAATGGACTTGGAACTTAGAACACTCTAGAAGTTTTAATGATTTAAAGAAGTTGATTAGTCTTTCTCCTGCCTTGACCTATTTTAACCCTGAATTATCTATAGGAATTGCTACTGACGCATCTAAATGTGGTTTAGAAGCTGTATTATTTTATACTGAAAAAGACGGCAAAGAAAAATCAATAGCTTTCGCGTCGAGAACTTTATTAAAATCCGAAATGAACTATACCAATATTGAGCGTGAGGCTCTAGCTATTATGTTCGTTATAAAGAGGTTCCAGGAATACTTAATCGGCACCAAATTTACAATTTTTACTGACCATTAAACCTCTAGTCCACATCTTCACCAAGGGTCTTAAGGACAATAGTACTATGTCCTTAAGACTGCAGAAGTGGTATATAACATTAGGAGGTTATGATTTCAATATAAAATATAAAGCCGGTAAATATAATGTTGTTCCTGATTGTCTCTCGAGATTACCACAAGAATGTCACGATGAAGTTGTTGAAAATATCACTTATAAATGATTTTGGGGATACACCTATCAACTTTAATTAAATACGTGATGAAATGTTGTGGTTGGGAGAATTTGGATTGGGAGATTAGAAACTTAAATATAAAATAGAAATAAAAATAAAAATAATTAAATACTAAAATTATATTTTTGAATCCTTTATTAAATAAAATTTTATAAATTAATATAAAGGGAAGACATAACCAAAAAAGAAAAAGTAAAGTATAAAACACTAAAAATTATCTGTTAAAAAATAAAATTCTAAGTTAAAAAAAAAGAAACAAGTCCTTTTGCATAATATTTTCTCCATTATATATATCCTTTTTCTTTAATCTACATTTACATAGTGGTAATTTGCATAGAGATTTCTTTCGTTTTCCTTAATTTTGTTTAAAAGTATATTTGAATATCTTTCGTTTTTCCTTGATTTTGTTTAAAAGTAATTTGCATATCTTTGGTTTTTCTTGATTTAGTTTAAAAGTTGATTTGAATATTACCATAATTACAACAGAAGCTTTTAAAGATATTAAGAACAACGTGCCTATAAAGAACAATATCTATAAAAACATTGAATTGGAATTGAGTATAATTAAGGATTGTCTTTACAAAAGCAACAAAATAATAATTCCGTCTTCTATGAGAAGAAATATACTACAGTCATTACATGAAGGTCATTTAGGAGCAGGAAAAATCAAATCCTTAGCCAAAGATTATATGTGGTGGTCTGGTATAAATAACGACATAGACATGGAAGTGAAAAGTTGTGACGATTGTAACGTAAATCATGACAATCCTAAAAAGATACAAAAACCGTGGGTTTCGGCAACCAAACCATTTAAAAGGATACACATAGATTATGGCGGTCCGTTTTTTACAAAAAATTGGTTTATAATAGTCGATGCCTATAGCAAATTTCCAATTATTATTCCTGTTAAAAATATTACGACCGATATCACTTTAAAAGAAATTTTCAAAACTATTTCGCTAAATGCAATACCTGAAACTATAGTTACTGTGGCACTAACTTCACAAGTAATGATTTTGAAAAATTTTACAATGATTATGGTATTAAAC